CTTGGGCCCTCCTGCCTCCTTATTATAGGAACCTTGTGATGACACGGGGCCCACCTGGATAGTCCAGAAGAATCGCCCTAGCTCAAGTCCTTAACTCAATCACATCTGCAAAGCCCCTTTTGCCAGGTCAGGTCACAGAATCACCAGTTGGGGGATTAGGACATGGATGTATCTGGGGGCGGGGGGAGCACTGCTCCACTGAACACAGGAGTCAAGGTATCTCAGGGTTTCAGCACAGCTGGCTCTTCTGGGCATGTCCCCAGGCCAGGTGCTGTACGGACCCAGCCGAGGGGGGCCTTTGTTAGTACCAGTCCCCCCAGCTTGCGTCTAATGACAAAAAGAGATGGCTCAAAGGTGAAAGGATGGTTGTAGAAAGAAGCCAGGCCCTCATGTCAGACGGAGCTGGGTCCAAATCCCAGCTCTGTCTTAGACCAGCCACGTGACTTGGACCAGGTGGCTCAAATGGCTTGTGACGTTCTTCTCTGTCAAGTGAGGCTCACGATGCTGTCTTAGGAACGTTGTGAGGATAACTGGCGGCAAAGGACCCACTGGGCTGACAGGTGTGCGATGGATAATGCCCCCTCTAAAGTCTCTGGGCAGCTGAAAGGATGGGAGGGAAGGCAGGTGAGGGGAGCCAACACCCAGGCAGGTGATAGCCCTCCCCCACGTCCCACAGCCGCACTGGGGAAACAGCAGTTGCAGTAATGGAGAACCTGGCCCGGCTAGAACTGTTAGTCAGTTTCCCCTTTCCTGGCCATAGCTGATAAGTATATCCTGCTGGATAAAAATACATCCACCCTTACGGTAAGACTCCCAGACTGGGACTTCTCCAAGCACCCCGCCTCCAGCCTGGGGGAGCATGTGGCCTTTCCCTACAAACAATCCAGAAGAGGCTACGGTTCCGGGGCTCCAGGGCAAGGGATCTGGTGGCCCCCCATGCTCTGGGACGGAGGGGAGGCCGTTTCTGCTGCTGGAGACACAGCAGGCCAGGCTGGGCCCCGAGGCAGTGCCCACGTGAGGCTCCCTTTCAGCCGGGTTTATAAGCAGCAGCACTGACGGAGCACAGAGACAAGAGCCCAGTAACCAGCGCGCGGTCTGACTGTGCGCCGGTCAAGGGGCTTGGTACCCCCCAGTAGCCCTTCGGTTCTCACCACCACCCTGTGGCTGCAGGTCCTGCCATCGTCCCCAGAGACACAGGGGTAAGGAATTACCCAAAGGAAAGGTTGCTGGTGGAGACTGGCTTTGAACCCTGCAGTCTGGTGTTTAACTGGCAGACTGGCTCCTGTTGAATGTAATTTAGAAAAGCTGTTCGGAAGCCTTCTTTCAATTTCCTGATGATGAGGAAGAGGTGAAGAGGTCTGAGGATCACCCCAAACACCAGCAGACACACACACAGGAGGCCGACCCCGCACACGCCAGACACGCCCCTCTGAATCTCACTTGTCCAAGCCTTCTCCAGTACACACCACTTCGGGTGGGAAAGTGGATGTCCCATTTCCTCAGTCTTCCCAACGTCATGGCATCTAGTGTTGATCTTTTTTCTTATTTGCTCCCTATATTCTATCCCTCAGTTTTGTTTTTTTAATTGAGGTAAACTTCACAACACAAACCATTGGAAAGCGTGCAATTTAGTGGCATTTAGTGCCTTCACAGTGGTGTGCAAGCAACATTTCTATCTTTGCAAAATGCTTTCTTCACCTGATAGGAAACCCAGTGCCCATTAGCAGTCGCTCCCCCCTCCCCCTCCCCACAGGCCCTGGTGACCGCTTATCTACTTTCTGTCTCTAGGAATTTTTCTTTTCTGGACATTTTGTATAAATGGAATCATATAATATGTGGCCTTTTGTGGCTGGCTTCTTTCACTTGGCACGTTTTCAAGGCTGATTCATGGTGGAGCAGGTATCAGTGTTTTGTTCCTTTTTATGGCTGAAGAGGATTCCACTGGATGAACAGACCACATGTTGTTTATCCATTCACCTCTTGGTGGACACCGGGAGTGTCTCCGCCTATTGGCTAATGCGAACAGTGCTGCTGTGAACAATCGTTTGAGTCGCTGCTTTCATTTCTCTTGGGTGTGAACGCCTGGGTGTGGAATTGCTGGGTCACATGATAACTAGCTTGTTGAGGAACCACCAATGGTTCCCTACAGCAGCTGCGCCATTTTCCATTCCCACCAGCAGTGCACGAGGATTCCAATTTCTCCACCTTCTCGGCAATGCTTGCTGTTTCCCGTGGCTGTTGTTTCATGATAGTCTCCCTAGAGTGTGTGAAGTGTTCATCCTTCACTTTGAAAGTGGAGCTGAGACACCATGCAGCCCCACCTCCACTGACCCAGCCGAGGAAATGGGTTCCCAAGATCATCCTAGGATTCAAACTCCCTGCCCTTGGCCGTCCTGGTGTCTCTGCAGCCCCCGGCGTGACTTTACTTGCAGGGAATGCGTGGCAGGTAGAGAAAGATCCTTGGGTACAAACAGAAGGCGCTGACCCAGCCCTTAGGAAAAAGTTCAGTGGGGACAACGAGGGGCAGACCCTACGCACACCCAAACTCCAGAAGCTGCTCCAGAGCCCAAGGGGCAGTTAACATGAACTCCCTCAAGTTCTCCAGAAAGCTACAGGTTTCTTTGAAAACAAAACAACACCCACCCACACAGACGCACACCCCTCACTCAAAGTTGGACGTGGTTTTTACAAAAAAGATCTTAACTCTCATCCGCTTCGATCCAGCTGAAAATATGGTGGGGGCAGCAGCACTGGACCTCCTACTTCGGCTCCCAGCCAGGAAGTCTTCCCTGACGGACCCCTTTGGCCACAAAACTGTTTGATTTTCCACCCTTGGCCACTGAGCAAACAAACGAGCAGCTTTCAAGATCTGTCCCCTTTCCAGAGAGACATGCCACAGGACTGCCTGGCCTTGAGTCCAGCACTGCCTTCCCACCACTGGGCTGTTGGTCTTGCCAAGTGACAACTTCTTTGGGCCTCAGTTTTCTCTGCTGTAAAGTGGGCTGTCGTGAGGATGAAGTGAGGTAATGAGTGAGATGCTTAAAGCCCCTGTCACCTGTTGCACAGTCAGTCAACAAGATGCTTATTACTCTCTGAAGTTGGAAATAGTATCAGGGGTGTGACCTGGTCAACCCCTCCTGTCCCCACCCCTCCACCTGCATCAGACCTAGCAAGGTGCCCCTTCCCTACTCAGAACAGCAATCTGGAGTACATTCCTCTAGAACTGGTTCCCTCGCAGGGCAGGCCTGGAGCAGACAGCTGTCTCAGGTACGTCAGATGTAAAAGGGACCTGGTGATGATGTGGTCCAGGGTTTTACTTAACAAGGAATTACTGCCCTTGGCCTCTAGACAACGAAGTCCAGTGATTCAAGTCTCATCTAAGATAAGAAAGGAGGCATTGGGAGGGCAGAAATTGCCAGGGTTTCCCAGGGTGAGTGGGCACAGCCAGGACCCCTTGGAGCTGCTGGCAGGTCTGGGCATCACAGGGCTGAGTTTCAGGCTCCGACTATGCCTCTCTGCATCCAGCCAACTCAGGCACTGGTTTCTGGCCAAGTGTTTGTTTAAAGAAAGGGTCCCACAGCATCCTTACCACCCTTCAAAGATAAAAAGGCTTGCAGACCACTGAAAATATCACTTTCTCACTATTGTAGAAGGGGGAATAAAATTAAAACAAACTCCTGGGCATATATCCAGAGGGAACCTTAATTCAAAAAGACACCTGCACCCCAATGTTCATAGCAGCTATTTACAATTTTGTTTACAATTACTATTTACAATAATGTTTCCAAACATGGAAACAACCTAAATGTCCATTGACAGATGACTGGATAAAGAATTTGTGGTATATTTACACAATGGAATACTACTCAGCCATAAAAAATAAAATGCCATTTGCAGCAACATGGATGGACGTGGAGATTGTCATTCTAAGTGAAGCCAGAAAGAGAAGGAAAAATACCGTATGATATCACTCATATGTGAAATCTCAACAGAAAAGACAAATGAACTTATTTACAAAACAAAAACAGACTCACAGACATAGAAAACAAACTTACGGTTACCAGGGAGGGAAGGGGGTGGGAAGGGATAAATTAGGAGTTCTAGATTTGCAGATACTAACTAATATATATAAAATAGATAAACAACAAGTTCATACTGTATAGCACAGGGAACTGTATTCAATATCTTGCAGTAACTTATGGTGAAAAAGAAAATGAAAAGGAATATATGCGTGTTCATGTATGACTGAAGCATGATACTGTACACCAGAAGTTGATAAAACATTGTAAACTGACTATACTTCAATAAAAAATACACATACCAAAAAAAATGAGGGAAAAAATACATAATAAAGTTAAGTTTTAGACTGTTACAGTCAAAAGCAAAAAGAAAGCAAACAAAAAAAATAACAACGCCAAACTTCCAAACCTACCCGACACTGTGCTGGACAACTGAATAGGAACACTCCACTTCTTCCTTCCGTGCGATTTCACGAGTGACTCTGGCAGACTGGACGTACGTAACTTTGACATTACTAGGAGAGTCTCTAAGCTCTTTGCCCCTTGTCTGTGGTGGAGATCTGCCTTTGACATTTTTTAGGACTCCTGGTGTTTGTATTTTTGTTGTCTCTGGGCCTGACAGCAAGAAGAAACTATAGAGAATTCTCCAACATAGAACTAGACTCTTGATATCAAGATCCCCTATTTCTCTGAAGTCTAATTTCTTTCTCTCTTCTTAAGAAAGGAAATTTGAAACTGTTTCTTGCGGGGGAGACAGACTGGGGACTTATTCTGATAGGGACGGAAGACGCCAAGGCAGTGACTGCGGACTGTGGTCCAGGAGCCCATCTTACACCAGGAGCCAGAAGCCAGGGAGCTGACACCCAAACCATTTAAGTTGTGGCATAAAAAAGACCAAATTCCATTTAGAAGTCAGGCCAAGCTGTCAACAACACTAATTTACCAGGAACCACTGTAGAAATGAGAACCAAGGACAACACCTTCCCCATCAAGTTGTTTTATTAGGTTAATTAAACAGCTTAAGGACGATTCATTTGTTCGGTACCCTTCTAGAAAAGATTTCAAGTTTTAAATGAACTTCCAATACATAAAACAAAATTACTTTACCATAGACAAATTTCAGATCAAAATACAACACTCTGTTTCTGTTTGCTTACAGTTATAAAATCCAGTCCATACAAACTACATAAAAAAGATAAAACACTTTCACTGATCCTTGGTACAAGAGAACAGCACAATTGCAGTTGCTCCGAAAGCACAAACCCTGTGCTCATGATACCGGGTCAGCCCCGTAGTTACCCCACAATAGACTGAAGCAGGTAAACAAAGTGCGTGCTACTTAATTTAAGAAGGTTACCATATCCTCTTTGCATCAGTATTACTTGTAAACCATAAAGCAACTTTGTAAGAAAGGTCACTAATTCAAAATTACTTCAACTTCACTAAAATTTCATACCAGCAACGGAATAGAAAATTACTCCACAGAACAGACGAATACACTTGGACCACAGGATGTTTGAGACGTGACGTTTCAATGAAATCACATTAGCACAATTTCTCTGCTATCCTACTGAATTCAGAGAGTATAATTTTACAAGCTGCAACTTCCCGGTACTTGAAATATTTTGAACTTTCCATATAATGTCTTTCATTTAGCTTATGTATAAGTCATTGCAAATCTCTGTTTTTTTTTTTTCAGTAGTGGGTCTTTCTTTAAAGATCAGGTACCTCATTACACACAACATAATGTCATCTAAATACACATCTAAGTAGACTGCTCAGCTTGGAATCTTACCAGATGATAAAAGCTGCAGGATTCAGATTTATTCTATATGTACCTTGTCAAAAAATGTAGATATGTTAATTAAACAAAGATGTGTGTTTAACAGGATGAGTTCTGATATGGTATTTTGGGGATTTGGTATTCATGGTCTTTTCTTTATGGTATTAAAAAGGCATCAAAATGACAAATCAAGAGCGTGCTAAAAACTGGTTTTTGACAAGGATGATGTCACAAGCAGCAGCGGGGACCACACAGGCAACCAGCCAACAGCAGCGTTGCTGGCTGTTCTGTGGGACCGGGGCCCACTGTGAAGATCAGCCCTGAGTCTGGCAGAGTCTAACTGAATTTATAGCCCTGTTTAAAGGAATCCCCTTGGCAGTCTTCTCTCACAGCAGAAGACCGGCATCAGTGATAGAAAACAAATGAATTAAGACGTTTACAACAAATGGTGGACGGACCCTATTCACAGACAGGTACGAATGTCTCTGTCACCAGGAACACAGTGATAGAAGGAAGTCTGCCAGAGCCTGCTTGAGGTGCTTCTACAAAGCCGTTTCTGGTGAGGGTGGGGGTGAAGCGGGGAGAGTAGGGAGGTGCTTTTGTTAAACCCGCTGATAACCCCCAGCTCTGCTGAAGCCACCGCAGAATGGGAGGCAATGGATGTTCAGAAGTTCTGCCTAAAACACGATTATGGTTCTCACGGCTGTCACAATTCACAAGCAGTATGGTTCAGAACAAGACAAGCACCACTCGGTGGCCAGCGGCGTGGGGGGCGCAGGCATGGGGAACCCAACAAACGCCACATCACAGACGAGTCAGAGGGAGAGGAACCCCATCAGCAGAAAAAGCCGCTGCTGTTCAACGGAGCCAGCGCTGCCGAACAGCCTGTGCTTTTCTCAACTCAAGGCCACTGGATTCATTTCCCACCATAAAGGCATCTGCCCCACGGAGTCTGGGTGATCTCTGCTTTCACACAGAACCTGAAGTTTGAGGTCCCCTATTGGAAAACAATGCTATAAATCCATCTAAATTGAAAAGTTGATTTTAAGCTGATGATACCTTTTTGCCCTGCGTACAGGATCCTACCTAATTTTTTACAAAGTGTGAAGAGTCAAATTCAATGAGCATATGCTTAGATTAACAAGAATAAAATTTTACTTTCTGGAGTTTCTTCTGAAGCAAAAATTCCTTTGGAAAAAACATAGGAAAAGATGGTTTCTCTTATTGTAAACAAGTAATTCTAATTTCCGATTCTGTTCCTAATTTGGAGTGAAGTGTGGTTTGAAGTCAGAGCTAAATAAGAGAAAAGAAAACCCAGCCTAGCTCTGCTCCAAGGATGCAGACGGCACGTCCCGCTGGATGACGGGGGCCCACAGGGAGCCTCCCGGCTGGGTGCTGAGGTAGTTCGTGTGGCATCCAGAGCCTGTGGTCCTGGCTCAGAGAGGAGCCCGGAGAACCTCCAGGGCAGGTGCGGAAGGAGGCCAAGCTGGGCCCGGGAGGCTGTTCTAGTCTAGTTGCTCAAGGAGCCACAGAGATGCCCTCGGCCGTGCCTCGGAGGGGGCGAGGCGCCGGGACCCGGGTTCTCCCGTGGGAGGTGCAGACTCTGGGAGGCTGCCGGCCTGGGTGACCCATCTGACCCTCTGGGAGCGGAAAGTGCTGGTCACAAAGGCCAGGTCAGGGGCTCCCGGAAGAATGCCTTCTCAACAAATATTTTTAGGTTAATGGTCTGGGGAACCAGAAGAGCCCCCTGCCCCTGGCTTTTTTTTGGATACATAATTCAAGCAGTCAAAAAATCCAGGCTGGGAGAGATGTGGGATAAGAACAGAGGGCAGGGTGGGCATGTGATTGCCAAGAAAAGTCTGTAAATAAGGGTCCCCTGAAAAACAGGACTGAAATAACCTCCTTCCACCCTGACTAAAGTTCCTCAATCGGCACAGAAAGAAGTGCCAGCTGTGGGGAAGAGCCCATTTCCTCGAAGATTCTGCCTGCGTGTGTGTGGGCACAACAGGAAACTGGGAGGAAAACTAACACTGGATCAAACAAAAGACGGTCAGAGAGTGAAGATGACCACGGGGATGGGGAGACGACAACACAGACGGCTCCTGCCATCGACACCATGGACGTGGGCTGGGCACGTGGCCCAGACTCTGCTGTCCCCTCTGCTTTGGGGCAGAGCTTCCCCTAGGCAGGTAGGCCGGGAGGAGGGAGTGGCCCCCTTCCTCTCCCTCCAGAACTGGGAGGAAGACTGGGAGGGGGGCACTTTCCTAGAAGAGGATGAGACAGAATAGAAGGCAGCAAGTCCTCTGGAAACGCTTCTCAAGGGATGACTAAGGAACCCATCAGCCAGGTGATGGACTCCTGGACTTGGAAGGGGCTGGAGGAGGCTGGCTAACCCAACCATCCACGATGCCCAGTCCCCTCGACAGCATCCCAGGCCCTGCTTCAAAGATTATGACTTTTACTTAAATCAGCTTTCTCAAATCTGCAAAGGTTGAAAACAAAAGTACATTAAGAGCAAGAATCACTGTTCTAGCGGATGTGGTTTTAGGGAAATCTCAAGAAATATGTCTCTTCCTGAAGGTCCTGCAGCTGCTGGCCAGAGACGGTGAGCAGGTGGCAGGCAGTGAGGCTGGAGGGGAGGAAGGACCGGGCCAGAGTAAATGTTAAAAGGAACAAAGACTCCTCCTCTCCTCAAAAGCAGTGCAAAACTTAAAGAACAAACATTGTGCGTTTTTTTCCCCCCTCCTTTTTACTAAACTGTTCACAGAACCTCTTGTCTTCGAGAAGCTTTGGAGCCTGTCACCAACATCCTGGCACCAAGCAAGACTCCTCTTGCTGACTCGGTCACACCTGCTGTCACAGCTGCGGGGGGCCGGCCCTGTGATGATCTTTAGAGCTGAGCGCTCGGTACACAGGAGGCACCCACTGTACCATGAGACAGTTCTATCCGAAGGTTCCCAAACTGACAAAAACATTCGTCTCTACCATTTCTGCTGTCGGCCTGAGCAAGGCACTGGGGCGGGGGCACACCTGCTTGTTCTCAAGAATCCCCAGGGCTGGAGCTGGGGCCTCAGTGCAGCTCCCAGAGCCATTAGGCGGCCTCTAGGCTGGCTCAGGTCTCTTACCTGGGGCCCATCAGTGCAGCACATGGACGCAAGTTGCAGAACAGACTTCCTTTTCTGGCTACCAGCCCTGCACACAGACAAGGGCACTTTTTTTTTTTTTTTAACAAAATTGGCTTATGTTCATAATGGTCAATAACACCCCTTTTTTCCTTTCCCTTTCAATAGGGAACTATCTTCCCTGAACCCAGACATAAGACTCTACTGAATCATGTTATTAGACTGCAAAAAGCACTGCAGACCCTAACACCCAACACTTACTTCCACCCAGTACTTTTCTCTGCTGTCTTTATTTTTACACAAGTTACTAATGAAAATGTTAAAAACAGACACTGCCGGAGGACCTCCATCCATGCTGACAAGGGGTCTATTCTCACCAACACTGTCTGGGTATTTCTCAGTCCTTTCAAACCTATTTCTACTTCCTTTCTTCAATCACAAAAATATCAAGAATGACTTTATCAAATACCTTATTGAAATCAAGATAAGCTGGGAATGTCACGTACCACTAAGGCTACCAGTCTGTAGTCTGAACTGGAAAGGAAGCGAGTTTACAAAAAGATTAGGTAGCTCACTTTTGGTATCACCTTGTTAAATAACCCTTCTTTACTTGAAGGTACAGAAATTCTACACTGTCTCTCTCTCTCTCTCTCTCTCTCTCTCACACACACACACACACGTAACACAACACAAAGTTTGTTTGTTTGCTTGTTTTTAAGCTTCATATAACATCCAAGTTCAGAAAGGACAGTTCACGTCTAATGATCTCAAAAAGAGGTCTAGAAAGTATCCAGTTTATTTGACCAATATAGACTGTTACTTTTGCTATTTTAGGGAAAAAAGAAAAATTCAACTTTGGGAAAGAGTTTAAAATATTATTAGAGTATTTCATGAGGCAATTCCTGAAATAAGAGATATTTATAACCACGCTAGATATTCTGAACATGTATTCTGGGGTATTTTGGCTATCCAGAATCATCTTGAATTTAGGTACTGGAGAAGTAGGAGAGCAGAAAATAAGTAATTTTATAAATGCAAATATGCATTTACTTGTGTATCACGTGGTGGCAGATGTGAGAGGGAAGAAACCACTGAGGCCAGGGACACTGAGCTGGGGGCAGCCCCTACCCCACAGGAGCGGACGTCATCAGCGACTGGAAGCTGAGAAGGGCGGTAACAGTTGAGGTCAGAACCACCGCCACCATCACGTTTGTGTGCAAGGCACCAAGTCCTCACCTTCATTACTGCACTGATGGCCCCCTCACCAGCAACCCAAGGAGGTAAATACCCACACCTAAGAGCTGAGCTTCAGGGTTAAAGGGTTTCCAACCTCACAGAGAAGTCAGCATCTTCAAACCCGCATGCACCCGGTACCAGCGCCCACGTATGCTCACAACCACTAGGTTCACTTGGGACAGTACACAGAATGTCTACAGATGCTTTTCTCAAAATAATTAAAATAAGAAAGCCTGGGGCTCTAGAGGGCTTGGTTCTCTTGGAAACCACTTAAGGGAGTGCCACACTGCTCCATTTACCTGAGAACTCTGCCAGAATTCTACTGTCAGGAGCAAGCCCTTTAGTTTAAAAAGCACAAGCATAAACACTAAATCTTACTAAGGCGCAGGGACAGTTAAGGTGTTAGATTGTACCTGGGACCTAAGTTATTCCTAGCATGCTGGCTTTTTAAGGATGGGCATAACTCTCTTGGCCAGGAGGGGTACTGGGTAATTCCTATAAGAAATCATACTCTGATGGGAAGGTCTGTTTATAAGAACTGATGGGCCCTACAGCTCCCCCTAACTCGCCAACCAGGTAAGCTGGCAGATGCCAGGGGCTGGAGAGGTCAGCGGGCACAAGTGCCCTGGAAAGAAGGTGTGTACAGGTGGAAGCCAGGGACAGTCCACTGACACACAAAACCAATCCGATCACTTGCAGTGTGAAGTGTAATGTGCTTCTCCATTGTTTGGTCAACTCAACCCTGCACTCAGAAAACCCCAGGTTATCAGAACCAAGGGAGAAGAGGAACTCAGAGATGGGAGTCTAAACTTTCCTGAAAATTAAGATTCTTGGGAAACAATTCATGAAGATACATTCTTAAACTGCTCACAAAAGCACCTTAAAGAAAATGAAAACCTGTAGCCCCAAGCATCTAAATTCCAAACACTGGGTCAGATGACAGATAGACCTGTCTTCCTGTCTGATCCTAAGGGAGGTGGCAGTGAAGCCTCTATTTTACACAGCAGTGGTGTTTAAATATATACTGCTTTTCTGTATTATGAAAACATAGCCTTGTAAAGACTCTTTAAAGTTCAAGTTGAGTTTCAAGTAATCACTTTGTAGCAGCTCTAGAATTATTGTTCCTCCTGATTAAAAGTGCCTATTAAAAAAAAAAGCAGTAAAATGGAAACTACGCCTTAGAGAATTGTACGCCTCAAGGCCGCTCACTGCTTGCTTCCAGGCTTTTGTTAAAGGACAGAATGTGTTGAATTCTTCTAAATTGGCAGGGGATCGAGCACAGCACTACATAATGAGGTAGCCGAGAACGGTTTTTCCTATAAACACGACGAACAAGGGAATAAGTGCATGTGTAATTCTCATCCAATTAAACAGGAAGCGTGATAAAGCAAACTGCTTGTACAGAGGTACAGTCATATTTAAACCAAGTTCCTTGGTTTAACTTGAAAAAAAGTGAACCCAAGGTTCTATGGTACACCTTATTTGTAATTGGTGAGTGAGAATAATACAAGTAGAGTACTTTTAAAACCCTACAATTTGTCCTGAAATGCTAAAAATAAAGTTCAAATAAATATGATTCACTCATCAGCAAGAAAGATGAACCTACACTCACTTGGGATCTGAATTATTTCAAGTGGCCCTTTATTTACGTAGTCATACGAACTGGCTAAGCTTCTCCACTCCACCTTGTGCAGTGTGTACCCACATTCTGTGGGCTGTTGACCCCTCCCCACTTGTTCCCTCTCTAATTCAAATCACAGTGATTCAAGAATTCACAACAACTTTGCTGGGCCATCAGTACCAAAAATTATAATCAGCCCAAATTTCAGCTGAGTAGTAATTTTACAAGATTAGTTTTTATCTCAAAATAAAGAGAAGACAATAGACATTTCTCACTATATAATTATGCAATGCTGTTTTATTTATCAGATACTTGATTTCAGAAGAAAGGGAAGGAGTTTAAAAATCCACTCACTTATTGACTTACTGAGAACGTCAGTGACACAGCTGAACAATAACTTTTCTAAACTGTATGCATCAGACCAAAGAACACATGGTCATATCTGACCTCATCATATGTCATCTATTGCAACGGGACAAAGCTGAGATAGGTTTAAGATTAAAATAATAGAATTACTTCTGAAAAACACAAAAAGGTTAGAAGTTTTACCAACTGGTTTGCCAAAAAAAAAAAAAAAGAGGAAGTCTACAGTTCAATACCACCGAGACTTCACTGCCAGCAGGCTGAACAGATTCATCCTGAGTTCACGTTCTCCTCAAATACAGACAAGTAGGTCACTGCCCTTGCACTGTAAATTTCTATAATTTCTGAAGCAGCTATACGGAATGCTTCAGGGATTACTACAAAGCTAGCAAAAGGCTTTCTCCAACATTCTAAGATACTACTGTGCCTTTTCCTTTACTGATTTACATGTGCTAAAAGAAAGGGAAGTATAAATGAAGCTTCAGCTCTTTAAAAGTAAAAATAGCTTCTCTTTCAAATACTTATTACTTTTATTCTTTTGATTTTGGTAAATTCTTAAACTTGCTATAGCTAACTGACAAAGAAAACCAAAGGTCTGGCGGCTTTAATTTGTGCAACTTGCAAAGGATATGCCTCGCGGTGTAAGTTATACCACAAACGATTATTATCTGATTAAAAATACTCGTATGCCTAGAAAATTAAGTGATAGCTTAACAGGCTGAACAGGGAAATGATAATCCAAAGATTTTGCTTTGCTTTTGGTTTCTACTCACCTCTCAAATGGGGAAGGAAGCTGTATGTGCTGGGCCCCGAAGGCAGCTTTCTGTCCGGTGGGGGCCCTGCACCTGTGGCAGGGATGCGAGGGCCACAGCAGCCCATTCTGGAAAAGATTCTGGGCCCCAGATAAACAGCAGTAAACAACACCCAGCATTCAACATGATAAACATCATTAGATGTGCTGAGTGCAGGGTCTCAAAAACCCTACAGAACATATGGCAACCACAGAGGTGTGTGTCATGTGTGTTGGGCACTTTTTTATTCTGTACTGGGGTCCCGCTCTGTGTTATGAGGCCAGCCTATCTGTACGAAGGTTCTCATTTAAAATCTCATGTAAAATTCAGTCACACTCGGAGAGTCCTTTCTAGCTGCGTGACAAACATCACCTGGATCGCAAACACACAATACTCACTGGTCAAACATGTACTGACTACCTACTGTGTGCCAAGCACTGGGATGAGCAGAAGACTAAGAACGGTCCCTGCCCGCAAGGGGTGTGTGGTCTAGAAAGGGGGCAGGATTTCATCTGCCTCACGGTTAAGCTCCCCAGAAAGCCAAGCAGAATTCTGAGTAGGCGCTCAATCAACACTGTTGATTAAACCCAGGGTGGGTATCTCTGCACCAGTTGGAGTCTCTTCTCTCACAGCTCCAGGGGTGGCCACTGATCCCTCCCTTCCCTTCCACTTGGTGTTCTGCAGGGGGTTCCTGCACCTTTCAAACTGATGCGGTGAAAGTGCCCCCTCATTCTTTTCCCAGATCATCACATGCCTTCATCTGATCATGGGCAGCCTCCTCTGGAACCAAGAAAGCCAACATTCTGGAAGGTAACACTCAGGGTTCTCAGTGCTCCTTGGAAAACTTCTGGGCTCCCTGGTTTGGGGCACTGAAGTAGGAACGCACCAAAAGGAACCCCAATAGCCCAAGGCAGCTAACGCATTTCTCTAAAAACCTAACTTGCTACCCTGAGTAAATGAAGTGCCACAGCAAAGGAACCCTGTCTTTACCTCGCCAATGTAAAGAGTGGATTTCCTGTGCTTTGCCAAGGGGACTCCCCACTTACAAATTACAAAAATGGCACTTTCAAAGCATCGCTGAAGGCAGTGCCGTCATTAAATGGAAGTGCAACAGAACACAACACTTTACGACAGACAACAGACTGCCCAATGTCCCCCAAATATTCTTTTTGGTTGTTGCACAGATTGATTAAGTTAGCTACCAATTCCTCACAGCAATGAAATAATGAATTAAAGAAAGAAACAATGAATTTAGAAATTCCTTAGGCCAAATGTTTATAGCATACCAACTACCAGCTTTAATACACTAAAGAAAAGAAATGCAAAAGCCAAGTAAAACTTTCTATAAACCACAAATACATCAATATACACACTCAACATGAGTTTAACACAGTAGGTATACACTGAAGGGCCACAGGCTCAAGAATTTATCTGAAGCACCAGGAGACAATAATATATGTAGTTTGGAACAACAGTTCCAAAAGTAAACATGTACAACAGACTTACCAAGTCATATCATACACACAGGCGCGTGCACACACACATTTTCTCTCTCACACACTTTTACCTCTCACAGGATATAAGCATTATTACACACACAAAAATTAAAAACTTCATTTTAAATTAAACACTTAAATCTTGGGAAAAAAATATATCTGGATGTGTTAAAGAAAGAAACAAACAAACCTACTTTAGACTAGCCTAGAAAAGAGCCTCTAATTATTCATTTAACCTAACCTGAGACAACTCTCCTGCTTTTGGTGCGATCATGAAAATAAATTGCACATCGCCCAAAGATACTCTATTTAAAATGCTACGGTCTATCTTCAGCTGCTAATTCCACATATGCCTGGTAAAAGTGCCTTAAGGAAAAAGTATCAAAAATTTGTCAAGAAAGGATGTTCCAAGGCAAAAGTGGAATGTTAAAACACAAACCTGCATGAAATGAGTTAAATTTTACTTCACAATACTGAAATAACTGTAATTCACCAAATAAATCATGATTAATCTTGGAACACAGTAAAATTAAATACATCCCTACACTTCAACATAATATTTCTGTATTTATATATAGTAAAATAACATTTTGGCACTTAGAAGCTTTTGTTGGTTATTGCATCCCATATTATGTGGCAAATTTATTTTTAAAAACATTACCTAATTTCTGCAGCTACAGTGTCAATAAACTGAATTAAAAGAAAAAAAAAGAACTATTTTATAAAACAAATTGACTGAGTCACACAGGCACTGATGATATTTCAACAGGGACCCATTCACTCCTCAACAACAAACTGTCTCAGTGAAGAGGACTGGCGTAGACTTGGAAAGGGCTTCAAACTTCAGAAATTAGAGAAAAGAGAACTTCTGACTGTCAAGGCTTTAAAAGGACATCAGTTACTACTTTAATGTAACTCAGTTGTGGCTTCTGAAGGCCAGGGTTCTGTTCTATGAGAGACATTTTACCAAAGAAAATGCACTCTTTCAGCAAAAATTTGTTTCCTCTACAACTAACGTCAACTTGTAAAAAGAAAGTTTTCTTTCTTTGCAGTGGCCATGTTGCTTGCTTTGATTAAAAGACATTTGAAAGTGGAGAGGGTGTAGCTCAAGTGGTAGAGCTGCATGCTTAGCATGCAGGAGGTCCTGGGTTCAAACCCCAGTACATCCGTCCTCCAAAAATAAATAAACCTAATTACAACCCCCAAACCCAAATGTTAAAAAAAAAAAAAAAAAAAAAGACATTAGAGGTATCCTGGGGAAAGTGTGCAGACGACAGCTGACTGGTACACCATACAAAACAAAGAGGCTGGCTTGGCCTTAAGAACCAAATTTGACTGTCTTATGAGACTCAGGGGCAAATCTGGCCCAGAGTCTCTGAAAAAGAAGGTAAGAACCTGTACCTCCTTCTGCCCACGTCTTCTGCCAGGATGGAGAGTTAATGTGCACACACAACACTCTGCAGAACCCCACAAGCAAGGCTCCTCAGCAACTTTTGCAGCACAGTCCTGACTTCTAACAGGTGGAAGAAAACCCCTGCAGATCGGTCCCCCTTCTACAGCTCCTGGGTGGGAAAACATAAGCAATGTCTCACACTAACGTGAAAAGAATACAAACATTCCATGCAGGGAGTTTCTAGGAGAACTTCCTATTCTCAAATTTGTAACCAAAGAATACATTTACACATTTATTAGTCAAAATGCTGCTTCTTATAGCCATATTCTAAGGGGGTGGGGGAAAAAAGCTATAGAAAACAATTAGAAATGAAAAGCTCTATATTCAGTTCATTAGAAACCTGATATTGCATAAAATTCAAATGATGAAGTAATCAAGCACTTTGAAGTCCCTGGTTTCACACTCAGGTGGTATAATTTGAATGGAAAACAAAATATCTTATAAGATAAGTGGGACTAATGACAGACTTTGTCCCCCCAGGGGGAGGGGGCTGGGGTAGGGTCACCATGAGAGCGAGAGATACGAAAGGAGGAAAGGATTAACTTGCTCTCTGTGAACCGAATAAAATTAAGTTGAGGTAGTTTATTCTACCAGCCAAACTTTACTTGTAATGTAATTTGTCTAAAACTCGTACTAGTGAACGGCACGGAGAAAATTCTGCTACAAAGACTAGATTCTTGACACGGATTCGCATTCTAAGACACGTTTCCAAATCCTAAACAGTAGTAAACAAGACTTTGTGTGCTTTCAGACAGATTATTTTTAAAAGTTTTTGATCCCTATATATTTTCTCTGGACAGTTTTTTGTTTGTTTTTTGTTTTTGGTCATCGCAGACCTTTACTATTTGTCTGACTCAGGTCTTTCTTTTATAAAACCTCCTCACTGATAGCCTCATATTTATAAAATGGGTTGACTGGTTGGAAAGGAAGAATGTCACTGCAGGAGATCTTTCACAGCTCCTCGAGCGAGCGCTACCCCAGAAAGGATGTCCTGACAGATCTTAATCTGAATTATCACAGAAGTTAGCAACTTCCTTTAAATTCACATGAGGGCTGCAACCTGACTCATGAACTTACTGACTCTTTAGATCACTAAGACAGAATGTCATAAAAGGGAAATTTTATCTTAGTCTCAATTCATCATATTATCAATGAAAAAAGATTCTTAGGACAGAGCACTAGTAGTAAGTGGAGACTAACCGGCGTTGAGCCCAACCTAACGTTTTAGGCACAAACCTTAATTTGTTGGGCAGAGTTAGGCATAATATTTCCTTTCAGATGCAGTAAAAAAGCAATCGTGGTATGTTTGGATATGTTGGTTTGCATATACGGATTTTTGTTTGTTTGTTAACCAAAGCCAGGTACTCGAACACAGCGGTCAGTCAGATCTGAGTTCCCTTCAGGGAAAATGCACCCTAGTATTTTAACTTCAGTATTTTACATGAATGTACCCATCCCCACTTCCCTTTTCCTGTTGACACTGACCAGCCCCGGGTGGTCTACAGCCACATCTACTAGAGGAAGTCACTTCTCCCCGGGAGTTTTCAGCAGTTACATGTTCTCCCAAACAAGAGCTGCAGCTCAGGCTTATAAGCATCACAAAACCACCAGTTACCAGACAAAGCCGGGCGCGCAGAGCGAGCTCGGAGCTCCGCCGCACCTCCTCCCCCCTCACACAAAGCCGCGTTCCGGTGCGCTGGGGCAGGAGCTCTGCTTCTGCTCTGCCTCCTCTTCAAGGTGAATGAACTCGGATCCGGAATAAGCCTTGCTGAAGCTGCAGGCGGAAGAGCTTGCAATTTGCAATACGTAAGGCTGCGCAGCCGGTGCGGCGGAGGTCGGAGGGGAGCAGCGGCTTAGTGTGGTGCCAGGTGCCCGTGCTCCTCTTAAACTCGCGCACGTAGTCGTAATTGGTACCTACACCGGGAGAAAAGCAGAGGTGACACAGCGTGCCTCGGAGCCACGGGGAAACGACGTCAACCAAATCCCTGTACCCCTCTGACCTGTGTCAAGATCTCCGATCACATAAATACTGGCTCCTATGGGCACAGCTCCATACACAAAAGAGGAACTGGCGGGGATGCACAAATTCTGGTCATTAAGATAGATCCACCTGAAAATAAACAGAGGGACAAATGAAGGAGGTCGCAAGGACCATCGCAACATCCAGGCAGACTGAGCTGACAAAATCTGGGGGCCCCAACAGTAGGAGGCACGGCCCCCACACTCCTCTTCCTGGGAACCACTCATTCATTTCCTCCCGGTCACTGTGGATTCACTTGTGGATTTAGTTCTGACTGCACCAGAACGCTGTATATATTGAATCGTAAAAAGTATGCTCTTTTCAATCTGCTTCTTTTGCTCAGCATGGTGTTTGAGACTGATCCCTGCTGTGGCTTGCATCAGTATTTCACCTCTCCTTATTTTAATTAGCATTCCATTACCCAGGTGTATCACAATTTGTTAACCATTCACCTACTCACATGCACTTGGGTAGCCTCTGGTGTTTGGCTATTGAGAATTAAAGCTGTTTTGGACATTAGAGTGCAAAGATACTTTGTGGGCTTATGTTATGGAATTGCTTGGTTAACTGCTTGAAGGCATATTTCCTTTGATAAGAAAATGAGCACTGTTTTCCAAAGTACTGTGCCATTTTGCACGCCAATGAGCAGAGTATGAGAACTCCAGCTGCTTGTGACTACTGTCAGCTCTTGGTACTGTCAGTCTTACATTTTAGCCATTTTGGTGGTGTGCTCTTCCCTGTAGACCAGTGATGCTGGGTATGTCTGCATGTGCTTACTGGGCATTTTATATGTCTACTTTCATGCCCAAAGACTTGCTCATATTTCAAATTGGGTTTTCTGTCTTCTTACTGAATTTTAAGATTTTTTCTGTTTCATGGATACAAGTCCTTTGTTAGATACGTGTATCACAAATATTTTCCTCAGCACATAGACTGTCTTTCCATTATTGTAAGGGAGAATTTTGAGGAACAGCAGTTTTTAATTTTGATGAATTCCTTTTCATCCTTTTTTTTTTTCTTTTTATAGTTCATGCTTTCTGTGTCCTGCTAGGAAATCTTTGCCTAGTTCAAGCTGGCAAAGATTTTTTAAAATTAAAATTTCTGGAAAACTTATTATTTCAGTTTTTACATTTAGGTCTTATGATACATTTCAAGTTAATTTCTGTGTATGGTATGAGATATGAGTCAAAGTCCTCCCCCCCCATACAGGTATCTAGTTTTTTCACCATCATTTGCTGAAAAGACGTTTCTTTCCCCCAGTAAACTGCATTGGCATTTCTGCTGAAAATCAATTTAATAAGCACTAAAAGGATCCAGGGCTCCGTGAAGAAGTGGCTGATTCCACAGCTGAGACAGAAAATACACGATGAGCTGCCAGACAGGAAGGACTTAAAAAGGGACGGGGTGTGTCACAGGGACACAGGAGCCGACATGCAGCAGCTCTCAATGGCCACAGCTGGAACAATCTGAGTAACAAAATAAATAATGATAGTACTGGATGCATAACTCACAGAATAAACAAATACCCAGGAGTCCGTGCTGATATAAATAAATGACTCAATACATTAAAAAAAAAAAAGACGACAACAAGGAGAAAGGACAAGTCTTCTCTACAGAACTCCAGCAGACATATGTAGGAGGAATGGGGGACAGAAAAATCGCCATTTAGCAAACAAAACACCGAAGTAGTAATGACAGCAAGGCTAGTCCACTGACGGTGCTAAACTCATGGTGAAAGTTTAAGGAGAAACAAGTTATCTCTTCCAAGACAGTCACTCATTACGAAGGGAGACGTGGTAACTTTACAGACGCCACTTCCACCAGGCCATCGGGATGAGTATCACTGTAAGGAGACGTACCAACAAGAGGCTCTCCCGACGCGGGGCGGGGAAGGGCACAGCTGCGCTTCTGAGGGATTCCTACCCCAAACGCGTAATCTCAGCCTCATCACGAGAAGTCACGAGACAAACCCAGATTAAGAGACATCCTAGTAAAAACTGACCAATAACATTCGAGGATATCAAGGTCATGAAGACGAGGAAAGACTGAGGCACCGCCACAAATTAAAGGAGACTAATCAAACTCAACAACTGAAAGCAACGTGGGATCCTGGATCGGATCCCGGAGCAGAGGGCAAAAAGGTAGTGGACGAGCTGGTGAAGATTTGAATAACGCTGGTAGTTTACTTCATAATACTATGCCAACGTGAATATCCTGGTTTTGATATCTGTACTATGGTACGAAGGTGTTAAAAATAGGAAAGGTGGGGAATGGTTTATGGGAACTCTTTTTTTTTAGTAGAATCAAAGTTTTTTTTTTTAAGATTTTTTTGGGGGGGTAATTAGGTTTATTTATTTTTTAATGGAGGCACTGGGGCTTGAACCCAGTACCTCGTGCATGCTAAGCACACACTCTACTAATTGAGCTATATTCTAATCCTCCACTGTGACTATTTCTGTAACTTTTCTACAAATATAAAATTATTCCAAAATAAAAGGGTTTTTTTTTCTTTAAACAAAAATAAAAACAAGCTAAACTCTGCTATGTAATAATGTTCACTTACGGTAATTTGACCAAACAATTTCCCTTCAATAGCTAAAGGCAGAGCCAAGTCATTGCAGACCTGGATCAGACTTTGGGAATGTAGCGAAACCCTTCAGAATGACTAGCGTCTAGGCCCACACTCACCACCGGAGCCCACAGGGCCACCGGACCTGTTCCCGAGTCCCTAGCTTTACACCTCCAAGTGTCCAAGAAGCCAGAGGCTAAGGTCTGCAGCATCGTGGTGTTAAATACAAACAGAAAATTATTTCACTAAGAACAACAGTTGTATTGCAATGAATACTCTTCTCAGACTGTTCTAAAGTAGTAGCTTCCATATTTTGAATTCCATGAAACACAAGAGCAGAATGATTTGTCCAAGATAATACAGCAAGGCTGCTATAAAGCAGCCATACTTCTGAGTACCTTCACCTAGAGTTTGATTCCTTTAACATCTGGATGCTGACTGGTATCAAGCAGTTTGCTGGGACAGTTTGGCCCCTGCCTCCAAGATGCTTCTAATAAATAGGAAAGGGGGAAAATCTAAGAGCTCTCACTGCAAAGTGAAAATGGGGACCTGAACAGGTCTTTGAAAGAAATAAGTTTGAAAAATATCCACAATATAGTAACTGGCTTACTCATATTTTATGCCTTCAGGGCTAAACATTAATAACTAAACCTTGACATTTAAATTCTTCCCAGGTCCTGAATCAAATAAAGCTGATGAGTATCCCCCTGCCTGGTCCACAACTGAGCCACACCCAGGATAACCCCAGAGAGGAAGACAGCTCTTCTTCCAGAAAGTCCATCAACAGGGTCACATGTGCACTCACAAGGACACTTCTGAATTAAGACGTATACAACTAGATTGTCTACTGAAAGAACACATCACAATGCAAGGACATTCCAGAATAATTTTGCAGAGTTGAGAATTCAATGTAATTCCTCCCTGGAATAATTCAACAAAACCAAAGAAACTGGTCTATGTAGATGACCAAATTTGATCAAAGTATGGCAAATGATTCAGAGTTCCTGGGTTTCAGGAAAATAATTTGAGGTGATCTATTTTCTGTAGTGCTGAGACTTCAAAGTAAATAAATAAAATATGAGAATTAAAAGGATCGTGTGTTTAGTGGCTGCTTATGAAATGGTACAAAAGGTGTGTAGTTTTTCACTCCTTTCTCTACCATTTATCCCTTGTTGACCTTGGACAATTTATCTAACCCAGTCTCTGGTCATTTGTAAGGTGGGGACACTATCACCAACCTCAGATGACTGTTGTGAAGATGAAATGGAACAGCCAATGTAAAGTACTTTGCATAGTGTCTAGTGCATGGCAGCTGTCATTAAGTAATAGTAATTTTTGCAAAGGGCAAGGCAATATTATACCTTTATTACACAGTTTTCAAACATGGGCTTATCAGGACTTGGAAGCTACAATGATGGGTCCTCTGATAACTCAGAATTAAGAAAGCCCCCATCACAAAGGAAACTTTAAAATACACCATGGATCACAGGGGAGAGATAAATTAGGAGTTTGGGATTAACAGATACACATTACTACATATAAAGTAGATAAACAACAGGGACCTACTGTATAGCATAGGGAACTATATTCAATTTCTTGTAATAACATAACAGAAAAGAATCTGAAAAAAATATGTATGTATAACTGAATCACTTTGCTATACAACTGGAACTAACATTGTAAATCAACTACACGTCAATAAAAATAAAATTTAAAAAAATCCATACCTAAAAAATAAAAAATTTAAGCATGTAAAGCCACTGAATACAACTTTAGTTGTTTCATATAGTTTGGAAATTTCTGATTTTATTAATTTTATAATTTGTATTTAGTTAATTGTTAATACAATTTCTGATGTTAATCACAAATTATTTTTAAAATATTTGCATTTGGCTTTGTTATTGTTACTTTTTTTTAACATTTTTTATTGATTTACAATCATTTTACAATGTGTCAAATTCCAGTGTTCAGCACAATTTTTCAGTCATTCATGGACATATACACACTCATTGTCACATTTTTTTCTCTGTGAGTTGTTATTGTTACTTTTTATATTTATTTCTGATCATGATTTTTTGAAGTATTCCATAAACTTGTAATAAGATATACTCTGTCTTTCACTCTTTTTTAACTTAATTTAATTTTATTTTTTGACAGGGAGTTAATTAGGTTTATTTATTTATTTTTAGAGGAGGTATTGGGGATTGAACCCAGGACCTCATGCATGCTAAGCATGCAATTTTTCAATATATAAAATCAATCTTATGTAAAAAAATACAGCATGGATCTTACTGGCAAGCTTCAGAGAGAGCAGAGTTGGAGGGGAAGACAGGCAAGGAGAGCCAGAGAGAAGCGTGTGGGAGAGGCCACAGAGGGAGAGGAGGGGAAGGGGGGTGGAGCTTCAGGGAGGGTCTGGCCTCCTGGAGGAAGAAGCTCTTAACAAGCTGAGCCTCCTGCAAGTTACAGGTATAAACTCTGGAAAAAAATACAAAAGACAACTGCCTGAGGACTCTGGAGACTGAGCAGAAGCAGGCAGATTTGGGTAAGAAGCTGAAAGTTAAACAAGCACCCCATGTGGAGTGAGTTTCCGGTTCTTTGGTAGTTCTGGCCCAAGGCAGCCTGGGGCTGGCAGCTTTAGGTAGCAAAACCCCTAGAGAAAACCCTGCCACTGCGTCAGGGGAGCGTGTCTTGGGGCAACAAGGACCACCAAGGTGTACAGGGGTCTCAGGAAGACGGAGGTACAGAAGAGCCCCTAAAGTGATGCGCACCCCCTGCTGCCAGTCTGACTGACACTGGGTCCATGAATGTTTGTACCTGAGGCTCAGGAACTAAACTGAGGTCCGGGCTGCTGCCCGCCACGGGTGTGACAGTGCCGCAGGAGTCTAACCAGGTCCAGTGCCCACCAAATGCTTGGAGAAGCCCTCCGAAGCAACAGAAGAGACTGCAGGGTCTCAACAATGTCCCATTCACAGCGCCCCGATGCAATCCAGAATTATTCAACAAAAGGAGAGCCAGGAAAATGAGAACCCCTTCCCAAGGAAATACACAGTCCACAGACGCCAACTCTGAGATGACTCAGGTGCTGGGATTATCGACTAGGCAAGGACTTGAACGCAGCTACCATGACTGTGCTCTCTCAGTAAGGGAAAGGAAAACAAGCTCATGAGGAAAAGACAGACCGCAGCAGAGAAAGTTTAAAAATCTAATATGCTACCTGAAGAAACTAGAAAAGGAAGGACAAAATAAACCCAAAATAAGTAAAAGGAAGGAAATAATACAGACAAGAGAAACCAATGAAACAGAAAACACGGAGAAAATTAACATCAATGCATAGCTGGTTTAGAGAAGATGGGTGGGTGCAGTGGCAGGCTCTGCCAACAGAGGGCGCCGGAGGACAGCAAGGCTGGGGAGCGGAAAGGCCTTCCCTGACGTCAGTGGCCTTTTTCTTCCTCCTACTGCTCTGCCACCTCCTGTGTGCAGTAGCCCCAGAGGTGCTCTGCTCAGCAAGGTCCTCTGCCAACCAGCAAGCAGCTTCCTGTGCACCACCTCCGGTGTCGGCACCCCAGGGCTCTGCCACATCGTGGGCCACAGCACACCCTCCTCCACTGAACTGAATTCCAGCCTTGTAGGGTGGGGAAGGCCCTTCCCAGTTTGCTCCTTCCTGGGGTATTTTCTTCAGTGCTAAATGCTGTAGTTGCACTTCTTTCATTGGCTATTTCTGCATTCATCAGTCCCCTCTCACCTGTCAGCAGCTAATCACTCTTATTAGTTAATAATTACATATATTGAATTTTCCCTGTTCAGATTATTGGTGTGGTTTCTGTCTCCTGACTGCACCAGGGTGGAAACAGAACGGCCAGGAGTGGGGTTCGTCTCCCAGCCTCTTGATCATGTCTTACAAAGGCATGTGTGGTACCTGCTACTTTCCAATCATCAGATCCAAACAGCATCATGTGGTCAAGGGGCAGACCAACCAGATGTTTCATGGGACGTCAAGGAGATCAAAATCTCTGGCGACTAATAGTATGTGGCAGACCGTGGAACTGACACAGTCCTGAGGCAAGACTGTGCAGGGCTACTGGTGGTCCCACCAGGCAAAAGGAATGGCTCCTGGTGTTCCCTGCAAACTGGTGTGAAGAAAAGCATCAGCCAGGCCAGCAGCAGCACACCAAGGCCAGGGATGGTGCTGCATAAAAATACTATCCCTGGGACTGATTCTGTGATCAGCCTAACTGCCTGATTAGGTTAAAGAAAATTCAGTTATTTTCCAAAATCCACCTGACTTTTCTACTTTTTCTAAGTGAATGAAGCAGGGGTGTGACAAGGTAGCACTCACTACTTCTGCATTTTCCAGTCTCTGATGGTGACACTGATGTCTGCACATTTCTCAGGGTGAAATGTTACTTCTGGTTTTCTACCTTGGCAGGGAGGGAAAGTTCTGGTGGCCTTCACTCAACCCTTCCTACCATAATGGTCCCCAACCCACAGGTCAGAGAGCCATGTGGGGATTCAGAAATATATATTCAGCCATCAAAAGATGAAACTTGAATAGTTAACATGATTTACCTATAAAAATGAAAGGGGGAGAGTATCTAGGCTGAGCAAATGCACAAAAGGCAGTAAAACCCAGGATGGTTATGAGAAGCAAGCTGGAGTATGGAACATGGGAAAGGGAGAAACTGAAAATGGTGGAACATTTTTCTCAACCTCAGATCATGGAGGACCATGAGTAGGAAGCTAAATACTATTATCTTTATTTGGAAAGCAATAGGGAAATACGAAGAATTTCTATCAGGATAAAATGACCAAAGTCAGAGTAATCTCTCAAAAGCACAAGTAGGCGAAAGTATTAGAGGAGACTGGTGAGAAGGCTAATGACACTGCACGTATGGAAGAGTGAACACACTGGATTAGGGCCCGAGAAGTAAAAGGGTGAATGTGAAAAATGTGACGGGTTAAAAAAAATAAGACTTGGCATCTCATGAGATGTGAAGCACAAGAGAATCAAAGATGACTTTTTTTAAAAATACAGATCACTAAGAAGATGGTAAAAAAGCAAGGATAAAAGGAAGAGAAATAGACACAGTGTCCTCCGGGACATGAAGCTGTTATGATGATTTGGTGTAAGTAATGGCAATTTTCTTGCTTTCCTTCAAACAGTTTTGTTTTTAGTCAAAAACATAGAAAATAATAAGATATGGCATTTTTCCAGGAAAATTTTAACCTAAAAATAGGGAACAAAGACAGGAAAGACAAGAGATTGCTTAAAAACAATAAATGGTCTCCAATCTAATACAGATGGCTCATCTGGCAACCGTTTCCAGAATATGCAAATATAACACATTTGGAAACGTCTGCTCTTTAAAGAAATACACTACACACACACACACACACACACACTGTGTGTGTGTGTGTGTGTGTGTGTGTGTGTGTATATATATATATATATTTTTTTTTTTTCCCTTTTGTAGATATTTATGGGACAGCCTGTTGATAGCTGAAAAGGTGGACCCTGGGGCCAGAATGCCTTAGTTCAGATCCCAGCTGTGCCGCTTGCTACCCGCATGCCTCTGGGCACATTACTTAACATCTCTGTGTTTTGGTTTCCTCAAATGCAAAACAGGGATAAAAAGAGTACCAGTATCTCCAAGAGTTGTTTTGAAGATTAAATGAGTTAAGTGGGTTAATACACAGCACTTTGTGTTATATATATGTTTAGTGTCATCTAAACAAGAATCCTATATTTTGACAACAGAAATTAAGCTTTCTTCAGCTTATCAACTAACACTGGAGAGCTTTGAAGTAGGGAAACTAAAAACTGGAGGAGAGAGGAGTTCTCTCCTGTGAGTTTTATTTGGAAGTGCTTCTAAATAGCAAGGAAAAAGCAATACTTTAATGTTTAACAATTAAGAACTGAAAGCAAGTCATACACTTATTATGTAAAGCTTATCAACTATAAATATGATAGAAACATAAAGGTTCTAACAATTTATAGCGTATCGAGGGCAGGCTGAAAACTTTACAGCCAGACTTAAGTCTTATACAGTCAAAATAGGGACAAAAAAAAATGGTAAAACAGAAAGCAACCATGACTACTCTAGCAAGTGAGTTACGGCTCTCTTGCTCACACTGCCCGAACAGTAATTCATTGATGGTGAGAAAGACTTATATCAATATTTTATCAGAAACCAAATGTACTGACCACTGCTTGTTAATGAAGTTGGGTAGGCCATCTCAAGTTCATTTGGACAGGAAATTAATGGACTACTTCATACTTTAAACAGTCAGCCCTCACAGTAATAATGCATTAAGTAAGGGAAATTCTCACACCCTTACCAGAGCAAACATTCTCAAAATTGTTCTCACACTTTGTCTAATAAAGTCAGCCCCCTGTAACTGAAGAAAAACAAGGCTATGCAAATATCCTAAATTTAAAATACATGAAAAGCTAGGTACCATGTATATATAATTCTAAAATCTTGGTAACTGCTCATTGTTTGCCCTAATCTGAAATAATTTGAAATATGAATATATGTATGTGTAAGTATGACGGAAACATTTTGCTGTACACCAGAAATTGACACAACATTGTAAACTGACTATACATCAATAAAAAGGGGGGGAAAATTGTATGAAATGAAACATTATGTTATGGTGCCACCTCCTGGTAACACAGTTGAAATGTTATCACAAGATTAACGTCAGCATGACAGTCTCTCTGTAGGATGTGAACATATTACTGCAGTAAAAATATTGTTTAGTGGTTACAACAATAAAATGTGTGAGAGGAGGGAGAAGGGGGAGGCTGGAAGGACACTGCTGACTCCACCCGACGGGAGGGCATCCTGGCAAATGTTTTAAGAACCTGACAGCACATTTTTTGAGCATCTGATACAGGCTAAACATGATGCTAGAAGCTAGGCTGCAAAGCTGAGGAGCGTGCGGTTAACAACTGCAACCTGAGACAGAGGTGTTATGGAATCACAGACCAAGGAGCCCAACTCAGGCCTTCTCTGGGTACTGACAATAATTAAGCAGCGTTTCAGAAGAGGCCAAGTTAACTTGGTAAACGTGGGACAGGAAATTTTAGGCAAAAAGAACAGTACAAAAGTGAGGAGCTAAGACAATCGTAACGTGTTGGAGGAAAAGTCACTCAGTGGGACTCAAGGGAAGCATCTGGGTTGAAGAGCAGCAGAAAGAGTAGCCACAGGCCATATCACAAAAGGCCATACATGCTAAGTTAAGGAGTTTAAACTTTCTCCTAAAAGCTAACAAAAGTGTCAAGGTCTGACCCAAATTTTAGAAACATTTTCTGATGGTTTTCCTATGAGTTACCAATACTTCTAAAGTCACTGAATAAGTATCTAGTATGCATTAGACATATCTCCTAAACAGATAATTCATTGAAAGAATTTGAAAACAAAACTAAAGAAAGCTACAACATGACTCTGAAAGCATAAAAAAAAAGTTGCAGAGGCTATATGAAATCATTCAAAATTACCTTTTAAACTCATCGTGGTAGAATTCCGACTTGCAAGTTACCATCTCGCCACCCTGGATGTCCTCGCGACTTCTGACTCCCCCAAATACGTACAGTTCCATGGCGACTCCACAGGCTACCGCTCCAAACCTGAAAGGCCACACAGAGAGAGCACACTCAGTACTGGACTCACCACCCAAGATCTGATTCCCTAATTCCTCTTACGCGTGTTTTAGCTCCGGGGCAGGTCAATGTTTCACAAATACGTGGGCCTTCCCTTTTCAGGAAATGGATTATTCGTTTCGTGTCATATAAACCAAATGCCAAGCCAAGTAATAAAAGATGAGTTTGAAAGGAGGGCAAAGCAAAAGCCAGGAGAAGGGGACTCTGCACAGTCCACATTGCGTTCTCCCACCTCCTCTCTTTTAGGGGACAGATAGCCGTCCACTGCTGGGTCCTCGGGTCGTAACACTCCACAGATTCAAACAGTTTTCCATATGAGCCACCACCCATGGCATAGATTTTCTTTTTCATAGCTGCATAGCAGCCAATCTGAAAGGAGAAAGCAACAGTGGGGAAGGAAACATTAATTATTAAAGTCGGATGAGTGAATACTAACTTGGCTAGAGAGCCTGGGGAGATGTCCGGAAAACGATCTGACTGCTAACAGCAAAACTATGGTTTCTTCTAATACGACAACACGGGGCTTTAAAACTGAGAAGGCCGAGGGAAGACTCCTAGAGTTAATCCTTTTCTGAGGAGTAACACTACCTAATACTATTCCACTAAGTGAGATAAGGAAATAAGCCTAATTTTTAAAGGACCTTTCCAGTCTTTCCATTCTTTCACCACTATGTGAAGATTCCAAGATGCAGATTCCATGGAGCAAGATGTCACTCGATTCCTGCCCCGAGTAAGTCAGTTGAAAGGCACAGACAGTGAGTGATCATGTTATGAGTGAACACCTAGGGCACTGGACAAAGCCCTGGCCTGACGATGGACTTCCTGCCGCCACCCAGAATATAAATACTGACCAAGCACTAAGCAGCTCACGTGAGCCATGTGTCTGCTCACTGTGCAAGGAGTACCTTCTGATTAACGTTTCTCCCCAGTCCTGCATGATGATTAAGAAAACAGGCTTGGGAGATCTGGCTCCTGGGCTAGCGCCACCACAAAGCACTTATCAGGTGTAGACCCTGGACACAGTGGTCCCGCCCAGAGCCCACTGCTGGGGTAACCTCTCACACACACAGCTTCCCATCTTGGTGCTAAGGCTGATGACAGTGAAGGCAAGCTACCAACAGAGACAGAACTCTATCGTGTGAATTCTCTTAACACTGCCAATTGTACTAAAAGGCATCTGTAGGAAATGAAGCAACAGTAACTTTAAAGCCCAATTTGTGACTCAGTTATCACAAGGTAATAGTTCTCACCTTTCTAACCATGGTCAAATCAGGTTGCTTTGTCCAGGTTTTAGAATAAATATCATAACATTCCATGGAAATCAGCTCTTTTTCACCATCTTCTCCTCCTAAAATGTATAGCATTCCATCTATCTCCACGATTCCAAAGTTGTGTCTTGCCTGAAAAGACATCAAAGATCTTAGACAAAACGCCAACTAATCAGACTGAAAACTGATATTCATACATTTAATAAAAATGACTTATACCACTATATCCCAGCATTCCAGCAAGGAGGTCCCAGGCTCAAAACCATCTCTCTAAAATATTTCTGAAGACTTCCCTAGTAGCTCACTCTCCATCACAATGGACAGAGAACCCCATCCAGGAATTTCCCAGAACTAGCAAATTACATGCATGGTGAATTCACTGGCAGAACCATCACTTTCTACTCAAAACAGCTCACAGCAAGAAAAACAACTATTGCCTTCCGGTTCAATAAAATGATCTTTGTACAGCAATGGGCAGAAAGTGGTTCCAAGTGAAGGTGTGAAAGACAAGGAAGATTTGTGGCAAGAGGGCTGTCTGTGGCTGGGAGAGGCTGGGGAGGACCCGGCGGGGGACTGTCTGGAGTGAGCAAGCCCGAGGTGTGGCACACTCATCCATGCATGGTACTTCCTTTGTGCCCAGCATGACTCTAGCATGGAAGAGAGAGTACCGGACAGACAGACAAAATCCCTGCCATCTGAAAGGATGTACGAATGATTCAAACAAGACTCTCCAGGGTATGAAGAGAAAGGAAGCAGGAGAGGAGAAAGTGGGGAGCCAGGGGCCAGGGGAGGCCTCACTGGGAAGGAGCTACTGGGACAAACACCAAAGGAAGGAAGGAAGGAAGTGGCATGCCACGTGGCATCTGGCAAAGGTCCTGGCAAGGGTCTGGAAGCCAGCGCACTTCTAGAAGGGCTGAGAAACTGCAGGGAGGCCAGACTGAGCAGAAGGAAGGCACATAGAGGAGCACCAGGAGGGTGGGCACTAGGTGGGGTGGGAGGGGTTGGCAGGGCTGCTACTTCTTTTGCAAAACAAACAAAAGGGCTAAAGGGAAAAAAGAAACACATCGAACAAATTTAAAAAGCAGTATTTTACCTCGTTCATCGGTGGCAACGCAGTCCATGTGTTTGCATCCGGGTCATACTTCTCTCCTGAGCTTAGGGTCTGCTTGTTTTCATCCTGGCCCCCAAATACAAACAAAAAGCCTTCTGCAAAAATCAAAGGAGACACACAAGAAAGTTGAAACATGTTTTCAACACCCATCTCCTGGGAAATATAAATGCCGTCATTGTAGAGACAGTATGTGGAGAAAGCTGCTCTGACAACAATGGACTTGAGATCTTTATCATATTTCACTCGATCCCTGGTGATGGAGCCAAATCTCTGAGTCACTGTGACCATTTTCCTTCACCTGGGGTCTCTGAGCAGATTCCCACTACCCTGCAGCTTAAAAGGACCACTGACACCACCCACCCGGTCACCCAGTGACTCTGCGTTATCTCAGCACATTTATTCTGCCCCCAGGCTCCATGAGTCTCGCACAGCATCTGAAACACAGCTCACATCTACGCATCCAAGACCGCAGGAACACTCAGGTCCGGACACCAGTGTGCACATAATTTTTGAACTTCCTAACTTGGATAATGGTAGTTTAGGTTATTCTACCAACACTTCAAGACTACTTTGTTTTAAAAATGTTTTATCTAGTTAGATAGAATATTTTTAAAATAAAATAGTCTTCTTAAAGGAGAAGAAGCCAACAAGACAATACGGTGAAACTAAAGGGGAACGTGGGCCCTAGAGAGGTTACCACGCATGGAAACCATTTAGCTCTGAGGGCATGCAGCCATCTGGGAAAAACTCAATTTTTCTTTTAATGGCTTTTAGGGATGAAAAAAGACAGAAATCTAAATCCCAGGCCCACAGAGAGTGTGGCTTCTGGCAGGAGAGGCTCTCCAAGTTCTAATCCTCAGGATGAAGACCAACTAGAACTGGAAGCCAGATTTAAAATCTCCTTGCTCGTCTAGGAAATCTCAACATTTGAATTTGATATTCAGTAATTACAAATTAGTAGCATTTTCAGGCAACTGGCAGAAACAAATGCAAAACTTCCATGGAAAAAAGCACCTTTATCTGAGTTTTAGAGTCTAACATTCTAAGATTTTAAAACATCAAATTATTCCCATAAATAAGTTTTAATAAAATGATCAGCACCTGGACAAAGATACTCAGTTAGACAAAGGAACTAGACTCTGCGAAGAATCAGCAGAAGCGGAAAATAGTAAGTAGTCTTGCAAAAGTTTCAAATGTCAAATAGTAGAATAATCAGAAAGATGATAAAACAACAATGCTTACTATGTTTAAAAAATAAAGGACAAATTGAAGATAACTCTATAGCATGGACTACAGCAGTGAAATAGCAGATTTGAAAAAAAATTTAAAGATAATTTCTAGAAATAAAAAAAGATGGAAGTAGATAAAATTCAATGGATAGATTTAATGGCAGACTCGTCACAGTTAAAGAAAAAATTCATTAAACGGAAGATACATCAAAAGAAATCACAAAGAAGGCAACACGGAGAGGCAAAAGATGAAAAACAAAACAAAGAAGGTAGCAGGGAGAGGATGGAGTAAAAAGGTCTAGTCATGTTTAATCTGACTTCCAAAGGCAGAGGGAGAGAGAACAGAGCAAGGACAACATGTGAAGACACACGAGTAAGAAATCAGATTTGCTGAAAAGGCCAAACCACAGAGTCAAGATGCCCAACAATCCACAAATATGGTAAAATTTCAAATAAAATATTCACTTAAGCACACCAGAGTGAAATGGCAGAAAAATAAAGACAAAAAGAAAATCTTAAATACAGCTCAAAGACAGAGCTTGAGACTGACAACGGGCTCAACAATGAAAGACAGAAGTCAGTGGAAAAATATCTTCAGTGTGCTAAACAGTAGTGGATGCCACCCAGGGGGAGGGCACACCTCAGTGGCAGAGTGCGTGCTTCGCATGCATGAGGTCCTGGGTTCAATCCCTAGTACCTCCATACACAAACAAACAAACCTAATTATTCCCCACCCCCAAAAAACCCAAACAAAAACCAAAATGAAACAAATAAAAAATAGTGGATGCCAACCAAAAATTCTATACCCAACAAAAATAAGGATGAAGGCAAAATAATGACATTTTTAGACAAACAAATGGAAGAATTTGCTACCAGTAGACCCACATTGAAGAAAATTCAAAAGGATTAACTGTAGAGAGAAGGAAAATGATCCTAGATGGAAAGTCTGAGGAGTAAGAGGGAAAAACAAAGAAAGTGGTAAAGATGTGAATAAATCTAAACGAATACTATCTACAGATACATGTGTAAGACAGATAAACAGAACATATGTATATATGTAAATATTTACTTATAAATAGTCATGTATTTCAATACTGTGAAACTGTGGAACATGAAAAATGGAGTATAAATGTACTGATTAACTTTAGACTTTGCTAACTTAACAATACACGCTGTGGATTCTAAGATAACTTCCAAGGAAATACAGGTACAGAATTTAACTTTTAACCTGGTAGGGAGGGGAAAAACTGAGTGACAATGAAAGTCAAACTTTTTTTTTTTAAAGGCCAGAAAAGAGAAGTGTGGAACAGGCCGGACAAATAGAACTACGCCATCATTTCACGACTTTGGTCAACACAACTGGACACAATTCATTTCCTCATTGTATCAAGTATCTGAAACACCAACCCCTCTAGGAAATCTGACAATTAGTGATACAGGAACTTTTGTGGTGGGTGTGCATGAAAATTGTGCACGTGTGTACACAGTATGGGAGGAAAATTTAAGGATGCTAAATCTGGGAAGACAGAACAGGGAAATCAGACCCACATCCTGTTGGCTACACAACTCCATCCAGCTGATTATTGCAGATAAATACTACACTTATTGTAGAACTCATAAATTGATTCTATTTCTATTCTATAGCTTTAGACATTTGTAAAATATGGTATGGTGTGGTACAGCTTAAACATTTTAAGGTAATGTTAGTGGGCAAGCAGAGACCATAAAAGAAGGATTTCAGGAGGACTGCTGACAATAATTTGAATTAAAGAAAATGGTACTAGTGGGGTGAACCCTTAAAAGGCAGATTCAAGGTGAAGGGAGAGGTAGACAGGACAAGCTCTCCCACCACCTCCTGGGGTGAGAGCTTTGAATAATGTGAAGCTGTTTCTGAACTTGCAAAGTTCAAGTGAAACACACTCCCATAGTAAAATAACTTTAAGCCATAACCAATATACGTAATGCTTTCTGAAGTTTCATATGAAATGCCTGTTTTTACGTGACACTTTCATTTTGAATACAGTTACAAGTTGTGATTCCAAGTTGCAAGATGGGGGACTATCACGGTGCAAAGAAACTCTGTGTGTCAGGTGTGATCACACAGCTAATGGGGTGGTAACAGTCACTGAGTTTTGCTCTTCTGCCATTTAAGTCATCAAATAAAGTGCTTCTCTACTAATATCTTAAAACTAGCTATGTATTTAAGACTCGGGAGCAAGAAAGACTGACAGCAGACACTCTTCTTACCATAGTCTTAAAAGCTAGAGCTCCCCTGAAACTGTCATCACAGAGAGATAATAAAATTGTATCTTTAAAAGGTTTTGAGTCATTCTGCACAACCCTGCAATTCCGTATTCCTTGCTCTTGTGTTTAAGTGAAGTTGACCACAGCACGGTACCTGCAGAGAGAACTCCATGGTTGATTCTCGGCATGCTTAAAGGCGCCAGCTCGATCCAAAGCTGCCGATTGGGGTCGTAGAGTGGGCACATGCATCGCATTGCTGCTGTGGGTTTCCGTGAACTAAGGAAATAATTGATTGGCAGTTAATGTGCCTCATGTAGTTCTGCTTATAATAACTATGACTAGTTTTACTGCTCTGAACAATGTTTCAAACGTTAAAAAAAACTACTGCTATTATGTGTTAGATTTTGAAAAATATGTATGAATTCTTGTTTATGTGGAAATCCCTCTTCCATCATACCACTAGTCAAACAGCTCACAACCACACTTACACTCTCTCTTCTCCACCGACGGTCACGATGCATTCTGAGTACCCCCGGGGCTTGAAGTTGGCCAGCATGGCCTCGCCCTGCTGCGGCTGGCTCAGGGGTATGTTGCTGCACTCCTTGACGATCTCTCGGACTAACGGTTCATTCAGCATCTGTTCCCGTAAGTAGCTGGAGTCTAACCCTGAAACCCACAGCGCTGACATAACATCCTTCATGTGGACCTGCAGAGGAGGGCAGAGCACGGGGTGGACACAAGGGAAAGGGGACACGGTTTTTAGAACATACATTTTCCGACTCGTGGGAAAGTAAAATTGCTGGCACTGACAGTCAGCTTCGCAACAGCAGGTGTAAGTGGCCATACTGCTTGGATGTGCTTAGTGGCCCCTTTCCTTCTACTTTCCATGGCTTTGATAAACAAAAGTTTAATTTAAAAAATCATCACTTCACATTTATATCTGATATATCACTGCATAGTTTCAAGCAGCTTTCTTCACACCCAAAACAGTTCCCACAGCAAAGTGAAACTTAGAAGAACTCTGCTATGAGCTGCTGTATTTCACATACTTGGATGTGCTGTGAGTTAAATCACATTTAAAAATAAGCATTATATACAGCAACATTGTGACAGAATATGGTAGATTTGATAATGAAAATGCATCAACATTAATGTTACAGGAAATTATCTGAAAAAGCACCCCCACAAATTCTGATAATCATCATCATCATCATCATTCCTCCAGTAAATACTGTAATAAATTACCTAACATGTATAATATGAATTATATATTTTTCAAGCTTAATCATTAAACTCAACCCAACAGACGACAGCATCCTACATACATAAGGTGACTAGTCTGTCTTGGTTTTGAAATCGTCATTTAAGATACACTCTTCTATACTCTGAGTAATAAAAGCCAACAGATTAACCAAAACATGAAGTATCTCTTGTTTCCCTCCCAGCCACTTCATCTCACATGTCCTCACCACTTTAAGGCAAGAAAAGGGTTAGAGAGAAGCTACTCTGGTGGTCGCAGCAAGATGGAAACCCTATCTCCCTCCCTAATTTACCATCAGTGTGGAAGAGAGAACGCTAACTGTACCAACTGTGCTGAGACCACAAACGTGGTTTCTAAATGCACATGCTCATGGGCTTGCAGAATTTAGAAACTACAAGATAATCATCAAAACATAAGTCAAGAGTTACTAAGGACAATTAAAAATGTAATTATGCATTCTGAAAGCCACTCTGAAACCTAATACATTTCTTTATTTTGAATACAGTAACCGAAGCCAGTCTCTAATTTATAAATAGTGGATGTAAAGCCTTGTGAATCTGCTCCCTCCAACAATGTATTATCAGTTTGGATCTCAAGCCTGATATTCTCTAAGACTCTTCCTTCCCAGGCTGTCACTCCTAGAACCTTCATGAACCTGCCATGAAAACTCCAGAATACTATCCGCTTTCTCCTCAACTGGTGTCAATCACTCCAGGGAGAGCCTATGGCCCTCGCCCCTCACCCCTCTGCCAGGACTCCACGCACCCTTTCCTCACCCCACTGCCTGCATCAGAGACCCTCTAGGGGTTAGCCCGACACTGTAGTGGGAAGTATGCTCAAAGCTAGGGTGAGGAGTACACGGTGCATTGCTATACTCTCCAGCTTAAGCCTGAAATACATTTTCCCACTAAAAACAACATTCAGAGGACATTATGTTACTTATAAGTATTAACACTTTCATTGGGTTACAAGGACTTTGGCAGACTGGTCTGGAAAACCAACTGCTTTAGTGATCCAACAGGAAGATGCTTTACAGGTTATCTTTCAGATCACAACTTTAAGTCTTTCAAGTTGAAAGAGAATGAAAAAATACCTTGAATTTGGATTAAAAATAAACAAATAAATGAATGAGCAAGTGAAAAGGCAAAGTCAGATCCCACTATGAAGTGCAAGTACCTTTCTTATTTCTGTGTCATGTGCTATCCATCGAATGACTGCTTCAAACACGTATCTTTCATTGCCAACATTTAACTTCTCAAGAGAAATCACTTCTTTAAGCTTCTGAGGACTCAGTTCTAGGAATTCTTCTGTGCTGCTGACGTCCCGGAAATGAGTCTCCAGGTACTCGGTGGCCAGGTAGTGGACGTGGTGCAGGCAGTAATGAAGTGCAAAGTCTCGGATCCCGATGCAGTTCTCAGCAGCAATGCAGCCTTCTAAAAACTCACAGCACAGGGTCTTCAGATCCGTCAGCAGGAGCAGGTCTGCGGCCTGCACAACATCTTGGATGGTATCTTCATTTAGCCGAATCTGTAAGGATAATCAGAGATATTTTATATTGGAATGTATGTATTTAGAACTCAAACCACTAATCTATTAGGCTGAACCACATGAAAGCTCCATTTCTGTAGGTCAAAGATGACTGGAAATTGGCAATTTCGTATAGTTCAACACAGTACTTTGTTTTCAAGAAGAGTTGGAGGGCACCAAGGAGCCTTCAGTTAACACAGGCAGGTTAACTGGCTGGTTAACTTTCCCCAGCTCCTTCCTCGCTTTACTGATGTTAACCACCAATAACCCCTCCAAGGGGAACTGTCCATGGTGCTCACTTCTATACTTAGGAGGAAAAACCTCCAATGACTGAAATGCTTAGGAAGTGGCAAGTTCTGCATTTTATGCTAAACTGAAGGCAATCTCTTTAAATCCTAGCACCCGAACTGATGAAAATCTTGCCTCCAATTATACTAGGTACACTCTTTTGCCAATGGTATGCCAAAGACTGTATACTGCCCCTTCAAGACAGGGAGAGGGAGATCCACACTGTCTGGAGCCTCATTCTGAACACCAAACATTGTACTTGGTGTAACAGACACAGTCTGGTCTCAAAGCTACTTTCTGGAGTAAATTCCTAATATGAATTTTTTAAAAAAATCATCATGAACATTTACTCGTCCTTAATTTTCTTCAGTTTTCTGACTGATGCTTCTTCTTTCATCCATGTCAGTTTTTCCATGCACTAGTGGAGCACCATAAAGAAAGAGGCCCCTAAAATACCGCCACAATCACAAGTGGTCCAGATTCTCCCAAAGAATGGGTATTTCTTTAGGAAACGTGAAGGAGAGATTTCGTGGAGGAGTGCAGCAAGAAACGTTTTACCACGATTTACACAATGTGTACATAGATTAAAGAAAAAAAGTGTAACTGTCCCTTGGAAACTGAGCAATAAAACTGGAGAGAAGTTTGTCGAGTAAGCCACAAATTAGGAGAAATTTCCCATTTACGTGACATACTAAATTTAGCCAGAAGACAGCAGATAGCTATAGACTATTTAAATATAGGCATGTGGGGAAAAAAAAAGCAGCACTAAATTCCATACAAATCTAAACTGCCAATTCAGGAGTTTGTTAAGACTTACATTGCAACTGGGGTTTTTAAACCGTAACTAATTTAAATTGGGAACAAAACCTAGACGTCAATTTGTAAATAAGTTTTCAAGTTTCAAATGCAAGCTGGAACATGAATCTGCTCTTACTGGCTTATAACCTGTTATAACTGCCACTGAACTGATTTTACAAGTTAGATAGGAGTTTGGTCCTAAGCTTGGTTCTATGATGCTACAGAGCATCTCCAGCACTTTAAGGGCTGTCCCCAAATGGAATTAAGTTAATTTATTTTTAACAATCATACACATGCACATAACTTTACTTCTACACACTCACCACCTAGGGTTCAGAGAAAAGAGAGAGCAATAACATTATGAAATGAAATAAAAAACTTCAAAAGGGACGAGGGATGACAATCACTGACTCTGGACAGAATGAATGTATTTAGAGAAAGTTAAGCAGTACACTCAGAATATTTAGAAAACATCTAGGAGACAGAGCCTTTACAGAAAGGAAAATTAAAACCAGAATGAAGAAGAAGGAATCAAGGAGACAGCGAGACACCAGCCCTCGAAAGGAGCAGAGATAAAACTCCCTCTCACATAACCAGGCGTAAGGCACACTGACTTCCTCCTGACTCACACCTAACATTAGTCTTCAGAGGCCTCCTACTATACTTAAAATCACATCAATAGGGTAGTAGGGGTTGGAGGAGGGCAAAGAAAAGGAAAGGATCACTGGTCACTAATCACTTTCCTCCTTGGGTTTCACGAAATCCCCAGAAATCTAAGTGGGTCCAGGGAGTATAGGGAAATGAGAAAGAAGGAATGCAGGTGGGACAGGGATGCTGGTCCTCCTGAGGCGACAGGACCAAGGCATCATGAACACAGTGCAGGTGCCTGTCACCTGTGTGAGTCTGGAAGTCTTTATTTCCACAAAGTCACCCCCACTGCCCAGGGAGGCTCCTATTTCCACACTACAGACACAGAAGGAGTCCCCCAACAGTTGTGGGTACAAAGCAAGACTGGAATTAAGATTTAAAAACAAAAAGACAGCGTGTCTCAGACTAGAAGGTGGAGCTCAGAATGGTAGAAACCAAAACTGGGACTTGGGTAAGACCTTACTTCGTCTGCTTTTCTCTGGAGAGCAGAGCCCAGGAAGAACAGCCTCGGGTGCCGGGTCCGGCAGAAGGCCCTCGTCAAGCACACAGCGACAGAAGATGAAGATGACAGTGTGGCTTGGTCACAGAATGGATGAAGGAGACCCTCACCCTGAGCTTGAAAAGCCTCTACTCAGTGCTCCTTCCTCGGTGTCTCATCATACCTGCCCACTGAAGATGTAATCCAGGATCTCTCTCATAACCATTACCGATATCCCTTCAAGTTCAATCTTATAGGTTGATCCATCATCTTTTGGAGGGTTATAGTTTAACTTTGTCCTAAGAAAGGGGAAAAAAATGTAAAATTTCTATGAAAGAACAGAAATAGCTAAAATATTTATGTACCAAATACTCTATAAAGTATATAATTATCAGTATATGAATCCCACCTAGAAAATTTAGTTTGTTAATGTTAGATCAGCATATTTTTATGACTTTCAACTACAAAGCATTTGTTCCAGGATTCAGAGTGCTACTTCTTAAAAACCAAAATGTAACAGACAACCAAAGCACGACGGTCCACGTGAGCAAGGATCTTCACTTCACCTCGGGAACCCCAGGCCCTTTAGGCTTATTTTTCCTATGTATTTAATTATCTACTTATTTTCCTTAATGTGACAAGGACCCCACAAACCTACCACCCAAAACAAAAGCCAGGACCCTGACAATGACCTGCTTCTAACCAAATTGTTCTTTCCCACTAAGCCATTCCTCTCCTGCCCCACTCGAAGTAACTATTATCCTAAATCCTACGTTCAGTTTTCCCTTGCTTTTTTATTTTTGCATCCACGAAATATATATAATCTAAAACACATGTAACTTTATTGATAGTAAATGTATATACACAATTTAAAGTCGTTTCTAGTTTTATAAAAGTGTTTCCTGTTCTCTGTAATCTTTTGGGGCCAACTTTTTTCATTTCATATTATATTGCTATGAGTCATTCATGTGGCTGCATATTTGCATGGGTTCTTTTGTTCTTTCTGCCATATAATATGCTACTGTCCTGCTGATGGGCACTAGACTGTGGCCCCAGGTTTCTAGCACTGTGAACAGCATTGCTCTGACTGTTCTTGTGTATGTCTCCTTTTATAACATACAGAAGAATTTCTCTTGGGTGTATCTCTGGAAATTAAGCTAATTTCTTCTCCACAGTATGAGACAACACTCAATTATTCTCCAAAGTCATTGGAGCAGTTTTCAGCCTCATCTGGTATGTGGAGGGAATCTGCGGACCCACGGACTCCACAGCACTTGACCGACTCTGTCACACTTCCTAAATTCTTCCAATCCAGTGAGTGAAACGTGGTCTCCAGCTGTGGTTGTGATCTGCATTCCCCTCCTTACCCAGGGGCTGAACATCTCCCAAGTCCGTGGTCACATGTGTTTCCTCTTCTGTGAAACACACATTCAGTTCAAGTCTCATTTTTAATTGAGTTAACTGCCCTCCTTATCCTGAACTGTAGGTGTTCTTTATTATATTCTTGATGTTAATCCTTTGGCAAACTTGATGCCTTTTTTTTTAAGGTGATGAACAATTTGAAAAATAATTTTTCAGTCCATGCTTTTTGTGTGTTGTTTAAGAACGAGTGCTTTTCCCAAGGTCTAAGATACTCCTAATTTAGCAGTGAGGGCAACTAGGGTACAACCAGGGCTGCACTCAAGGTCCCATAAGGCTCGAAGCTGATGGGACGAAGAAGCCATGGTGGGAGGGGTGAATGAGCTAAGTGAGAAGAGAATGACAGAGTTAGGGATTCCCAGGTCCCTGTTCCATGTAGACATGCGACTCCCTAGCCAGGCTAGTCAGGCTCCCCATGGAAGCTCCAGCGGAAGACAGGTGACAAAACTCTGGAGCACGTAAGACAGAGGAAGGGGGGGTCTTTGGACAGGGGATCAGCAGGCACATCTGAATGCAGGTGCACTGCACCAAAAACAGAGAGAGTTAAGAGAGTATTTGCATACTAAATGCTGAGAGCAACAGCCTTTTTTTCCCCCAATTTTGCTCCTAAAATACTGAAAGCCAGACCTCACCCTCCAGGCAAGAAACTGGATGACTTTTCTGGAGTCATCTGATCAGCCCCAAAGGAAAGATCTAAAAGCACAGGTCTGCCTCAGGAAAATGACCCAGCCTGACCACGCAACCGTGAAACCTACTGCCAATAAGCCCAACCTCTGGGCTCTGAACTTCCTGTACATTTTGGAGAGCACTTGTGAACCGTCCTCATGTCACACCACACACAGAAAAGGTAATATGACTCTGGGGTAAACAGATGAGGCCATGTGCGGCCCAGTGGTGGACAGGGGCCCCGGTCTCCCCGATGCTGCCCAGTCACTCTGAGGGCTGTCACCACTGTTATCTTCATACGCTGCAGCATCTTTTTTTGGCACATGCGTTAAGGAACTCTGCTTTAGAGCCCCACTATTAAAACTGAGCAAACAGGACTCAACAGATGTGTGACAAAGAAGAAAGACAGAAACCAAAGTCAACAGGAAATAAGTCAACTTGGAGGAATTACAGATTATGCAAGATGAAAAGTCAAGGGGGAAAAAAAAGAACACCTTTCATTAATATTCCCAAAAAGAAAAGAGAGGATGCTATGCTCATGAAACAAGAATAGGATGCTCTAAAAGGGAACATTCAGAGAACAACAATAACAAGATTTTAAAGACTACAAAAAAAATTTTTAATGTAACATCAAAATTAACAATTGTAGGTATCTGCCAGAAAAGAAAGCAAAAAAGACAAAGGTATAAAATAGATGAGACAAGTTAAAAAAAACTGGAAGATCAGTCTATAAGGTTAACATCTGAAAAACAGGAATGCCCATGCAAAAAAGAATATATTATCATGTGCTCATAACGATGGATAAAAATACCCCTTTCCAAGGAATATCATCATAATACTTCAGAATACCAGAAAGAGAAAACTTCTTACAAGCTTCCAGAAAGAAAAACAGGTTACAGAGAAAGGAATGGGATTAATGACTTCATACCTCTAAATGGAACTTAAATATCCATGTGGAAATGACTCCAAAATTCTGAAGAAAAATTATTTCCAACCTAGATTTTTATAACTAGCTAAACTACCAATCAAATATCAGGACAGAATATACATTTTCACCCATACAAAGTCTCAGAATAATTTATCTCCCATGCACCTTTCTCACAATGCTACTAGAAAAAGTGCTCCAATAAACGTCAAGAAAGAGAAAGATTCTGTACTAAAAACGACGTGATCCAACACAGGAGAGCAGCAAAGGGACCAGTGAAGGATGGTCCTAGGATAACAGCTATGTGCCAGTAGAAGACAGCTGGTCCATTCTGGTGCAATGGGAGGCCTTGGTAGACCTTTAAGAACCTGAAACTGATAGAATACGTAATGCACCTGAAGGTATAAAGATGATACTTAGAGAACCATGCTTCCCCCTTGAATTCCGTATCTGCCATTCCTGCCTCTATAGTTTCTACTGAACTAATAGTTCTACTCAAAAGGCAGCTCTTTTCTGCTTGCCACACCCTAGGTTTATCAATAAATGTCAGTCAATTCTCAGTCAAGAGAGAAAAATAGTCTAAGTGGCAAGAATAATACCTAAATCATTAATATCTGGCTCTGAAATGTACCAGATGCAGACGTGTCTTCCAGGGACGCTTCACTAGGGACGTCATGACTCTTTGTATGTCTTAGTTCCTGTGCTGGTTGTTGACATATTGCCTCTCAGCTCCAAATCCACCCTTTTTGAATGCTCTGTGAAAATGCATCTGGGCCTTTGGGATAGTTTTCTTTCATTAACTGGTGTGATGTGAGCTTTTCAGTCGAGGGTGCTGGGGAAACACTGCAGGGGGAGAGAGTTTTGCTCCTGGGCTCTGGTACCACAGCTGGGCGGCTCTGGCAATATAGGCAGCCAGCAGTGCCCTGAGGCTTTCCCTGGAACTCCCAGAGGCAATGCTGCAGGAAACTTGTTTCTGGTGAGACACCTCCCTGTGAACACTCTTCCCTGGCCCCGGAGAGGACAGATTTCTAGCAAGTTCCAAAGGGCTGATTTCAAGCAAATTCTACCAATATGGCTTCTCGGCCATGCAGTGAGCCATGGCTGCATCCTGTCCAACAAAGTCTGGGTCTCAGCCCTGGGGGTGGTGGCTGCTCCTCATATCAGCTATTCCTTTAATTTTGAGTTTTCTTTACTTTTCAGTAGCCAATCCCTCATTACTCCAATCTCCTGTTGTAGTTAAACATTCTTTACATTAAACTTTCCTTTTCTAATTACTACATGGTTTCTTTCTCCTGCCTAAACAAGACTGAAGAGTCTTTAACCAATTCAAAGGCAGTAGCCCCAAAATGTGTTCAGAAAGAAGGGCATCACCAAGCATTAGAGCTGTTCCAGGCAGGAGCTGGCTGTGCCTGCCTATGGGCTGTGGACAGTGGTGGGAGGAGGGGACTGGGCTGATGGAAGGGGTGACAAGGACACCGTTCACCGTGTCCCTTTTTATTTTTCAACCATATGACTGGATTTTTAAAAAGACAACTATACAGTCATATAGACAACTGTACAGTCCCTGGTATCCATGAGGGATTGATTTCAGGACCTATACGGATACCAAAATCTGCAGATGCTCAAGTCCTATGGTCTGCTGCTGCATTCACATCTGTAGATTCAAACAACCACAGCGGGTGTACAGCTGACCCTTGGACAACATGGGTTTGAACTGTATGGGTCCACTTATATGTGGGGTTTTTTTCAATTAATCTGTGTATAAGTAAACCTGTGCAATGTTGAAAAAAAATCCACATGTGTGTGGGCCTGCACAGTTCAAACCCATGTTGTTCAAGGGTCAACAGTCCTGCAGTATGTTTTCACAATGAAAAAGACCCCTTTCAAAGGGTACAGTTTTCTTTCGGCAGATGGCAGAGTATAGACAATGGCTAAGAAGACAGAAAAAAAAGACTCCTCTAAATATGACCATGGAGGATTTCAGGCTTCTATAAAATCTGGTCCTTTTCAAAGCCCTGAAAAAATGAATCATTGTACAACTGAAGTCTCTAAACATTTGAGGGTTAAATTACAAAACTTTATTTTAATTATGGTTTAATTTCAGATCATTAGACCTGTCTCCAAAACTTCCCATATCCTGCCCCACTTTTGATCTCTTCCTAATATCATCAGTGATATCCAGTTCCTACCAGTTTCTTAAGACTACTTCAAATGCCAGTTTCACAAAAAGTTTCCCATATCACTCCATCCTGCCACAGGCTGCACCTCCACCCTCACTTCCCTGCAGGT